TGACGCATATGTTGCACACTTAATCTCAGGGTCACGTATACCATTCACAAAGGTTTCGATTTTAATACGCTCCACCAATGGGTGATTCTCTCCTGGATAAGTCATTAGCACCAAACGTTCCACCTCAGCTGCAAAGACTTGTAACGTCTCGTTTGCCCTCTGTACTCTTCCCCTTAATTCCATAAGATAGATGTTTTGTTTATGTTCGCCACCGTACTTACGTTCCAGTGCAGCAATAACATCTTCATAGTTGTTTCTAGAAGCGATAGGAATACTCTGCATAACATCAGCAGCACTGCCCTTCAATGCCAGAAGTATTGCAACCGCTTTGTCGCTGTCGTTCCACGAATTTCTAGAAGCCACTGTCTCGAACTGTAACTTGAAAACATTGAATGACGTAGAGCCGTCGAATACAGGAGGTTTGATTTTTAGTGTGTTATTCGTCTCGAGTTTTCTTCTAACTTTCTGGAATTCTCTTCGAACATTCGTCTCGTGCTCTCTTCGCTCCTTCTGGAATTTTCCTCAAACATTTTAGCCAGCATTTCTCTGAAATCGTCAGCCCTGGCAGCTACTGACGAGACTTCCCCACCGTTGGATTCGCCCATTTCCGATAAATACAATTCATCCTTACTGTCAAACTCATATGTATCGATGTTCATACCACGGAGCTCGAACTCATCCAACAGACGTTTTTGTAGTTCAGCCTTGTTGCCAGTAGAGGACATTTCCAATTTATTGAGCTCCTTATTCAAGTCTTCCACTCGTAGATCCTTAAACCTCATCGTAGTATTATCGTAATCTCACTTCCGACACCGATTGTTACGTTCTTGGATTTTACTTAATCCCGTGTAGACGTTGTTTTATTTCCCAATACAGTTCGTACTAAATAAAACGCGGGTTCTTTCTGATTACGAATATTACAATGATTTTATTGACACAACTTTACTTTGCACTTTACTTTACAGCTTGACTGTTTCAATTCGCGACCTGATTCACAACTGACTAACTGCCTTGCCATTTCTCCTATTTATATGAGCCTTGCCTGTCGCTACAGAAGTTTCTAGACGATCTGGTAACACCTGGATTACGAACAATCTACCAATGCAACAAACACATACAAACTTACATTGAGTGAACAATAACAACAACACATATACAGACGAGAGAGTAACAAAGAAAGAGGAATTAAGCGATCATCAATGATGACGTTTAACAAGAATTGTACGTCAACAACAGAGTAGACAATGAAAGAGGAAATGGAAGGATGTAGAAAAATCTATACAGTAGTTGTTGTTGTGAAGTTATTCGAATAAACTGCTTCGTAGAAATTTACGATACAATTCAAATTCTTAAATTAACGGAATTCATTTAAATTAACTTAAATCTTAAGTTATATTCGTAACAATATATTTTTCATATCTGTGTAATTTGTACACTTATTTTAATGAATAAACAGGTAATAAATATGTTGATTGTGTGACAATCACCAAATTTTGATTTTTTTTTGCTAAAATTTCCTAAAAGTATGAATCATAGATGGATACAGGTATAATTGTTTTAAGAAACAATTCTACAAGGAGATCTCCCAATATTATGTGTAAATTAATGAAAATTTTATCCAAAGCTGTATAATTTTTTTACAAAAACTGGCCAAAATACCTATTTCAAATGGACATTTTCACTTTTGTAATTGCAAATAAAGTTATGTTGAGTTTTATTTTTTATTATTTGATCTCATTTTACCTAAAAAAAAAACAGACGTGTATATGATTTGTATTGTTCCAGTGGAACACTACGATTTTTGGTGTACCACCGCCGGAACACTACGATTTTTAGTGTTCCGTCAAGTGGAACACTAAGATTTTTAGTGTTCCGACCAGTGTACCAGTGTATTTTTAATGTACCGCAGTCGGTACACTACGATTTTTAGTGCACCGCTGCCGGTACACTACGATTTTTTAGTTAACCGCAGCAGGTACCTAAGATTTTCGTTGCGCTCCGGAACAGTAACGCTAAAAATATTTTTAGTGTTTGTGTACCGGTACAGTACGTTATTTTAGTGTACCTATCCACCTTGGTACGGTACAGAACACTATGGAACGGTACCATAATGTTTATTTTCGAACGCTGATTGCTACATGCCGACATTAATGCGCATGCGGTTTTCGTATAAACCGAATTAATCTCTTCCAATAATTATATATGGGAAATTACAAAATTTAGCGGCCGCTCGATGCACTTTACTATGCAAAAACCCTAAAAATGGCTACAAATGACGCAATGGCATTAGAGTTTTATGCACATCCGATTTCAGTAATCTCCAATGAAAATACACAAAAGTACAGCTATTTTTCAAAGAATTGGTTAAGAACCGCGGATGTGCCGCCACAATCAATTTTGGATTAAATTTTCGCATATTATTCGTGTATCGATGTACTTTTTCACACAGATTCGCGTATATGATAAAACAAACATGAATCTATGTAAAAGCAATTCGAAAAAAAAAACGATTATATACGCGAATTTGTCAAATTATTTTTTTTTTGTTTTTCCCACATTCAAGGTATCTACATCCGCCGTTTTATTGGGCGGAATTGAACATAGTTGAGCTCATTAGATCCGGCATGTAAAAAAAATATTTTTTGGTTACTATCCCTATTTCGATTCTTATAGTACGTTTACATTATACCGGATTTCGTTAACCCAGTGGGTTTCAATTGTCAATTCCATTGTATATATGTTAAATAAATCCTCATAGAGTAGGTTAACCCGGCAAAAAGTTCTAATGTAAATGCCGTTTTATAGATAAAGGATTTTATGATAAACCATGTTATTAATAAATGCTGTTGTCATTAAGAGATTGACAAACCAACGTCATTATTCACAAATTTTACGTTTTCACGCTCGACAAGAAATCCTCAGATAAATATTCCCAAAGTCTATAAAAAATATCTATTCTATGTCGTTCTTAGTTCGCGTTGCTCGTAATTGTAACCCATTGCCTTACGAATTAAGGGTATTTTCTCCCTTCAATAATGTTTTTAATAAACTTCTCCTACATTTACTTCATATGAATAATGTTTTGAAACACAATTCTCGTTGGATATCACATCAATAGATATGGTATTTACCGGGAAAATACCCAAGGGTTGGGTAAATACCATTTGCGGGTATTTACTATATTGAATCGGAATCGGCCGCCTGACTATCGACATATATAGCCACCGGTCCCGTGATGTCGGCATTAAGTGCTTTTACTATCTCGGATTGCGAGAATCTCTGCTTGAAAAACGCTAGTCATTGTTGAGTTTATATGAGTTGTGTATACCTAATTCCCTACAGTAAACGCCTGCGCCAGTGCCTTCCTCCATCTTAGATCCGTCTGTGAAGATTGACAGACCTGGCAGAGGTAGGGAGCCACTAGTCCAAGATTCCTTACTGTTTCCCGGAGTCTCAGGGCACACCTGGCCGCCTGGAATTTGATCAAAATATCCCCATTTAAGGCATTTTTTGTCTATTAGCCACATTTTATAATCAAATTGGCTGTAATTTGGCACAGAGAGTTATTTATGGGTGCCAAATATGCATGCAAACGTTTATCGATCTAAGTCCATGTTTTCTGGTAACACCCATACAAAGTTATCCTTATTTATATATTTATCCAAAAATTGGGTATAAACTCATTAGTGGGTCTCTGGGTCCATGTTTGATATAGCCCCGTAATTTTTATCTATTAGCCACATTTTACAATGGGGCTACCAGAAAACGTAGGCCTACACTCTCTGTGCCAAATTACAGCCAATTTGATTGTAAAATATGGGTAATAGAGAAAATTCACCTTAAATCGGGAGGTACGGTTATATGGGGGCTATATCAAAACTTGCACCTAGAGACCCCATTTTCCCTACGATTATTATTTTTGACATTAAAACATGTGGTTCGTCAGTTAATGAGTTTATGCCCAATTTTTGAATAAATACTTAAAATAGGGATAACTTTGTATGGGGGCTACCAGAAAACATGGACCTAGATGATAAATGTTTGCATGGATATTTGGTACCCACAGAGAATTCATGTGCAAATTACATCCAATTTTATTGTAAAATGTGTCTTATTGACAAAAAATACCTTTAAGCATGAGTTACGGTTATATGTGGGCTATATCAAAACATGGACCCAGAGACCCAATTTTCCATATGAATATTTGCTTTGATATTGAAAACAGGTGAGCCAAATTTTGGCTACCTGTGTCGAGAGGTTCGAGTTAACGAGTATTGAAGTATTGTAAAACTATCAATTTTAAATTGATTTGATAACAGAAACCCGTAAATAGGATGTAAGATGTCGTTTTAACGATATTTTTTAGTTCGGTATTTACCCACTGTCCATCTCTAGTAATCCAGAATAACTAAGCATACAAGAGGCATGTTAAGAATAAAAACTGAAATATTCGAAATGTGTGTATAAAACATGCCAAAGAGTTGCACTTAAAATGTTTGTTTTAATTTTATTTTCTTGTCATATAGACTTTAAAACGTTTAACATTGTTGTTATGATGATATCATAATAACAGAGGAAAAACCATCTACTGGAGTTTTTTTTATTTTGTTTCTTCATTAATTTTTTTAATAAATATTTTTTAAAAATAAAACGCACAAATATGAATATGTTGTATTTTTCATACCATAAAACATAGGAAAGCATATATGTTACACACGTTCTCTGTTTACTCATACGCACTCACACTTTGAGAGAGAGAGTAACCCATACCAGTAAATCAGACAAATCAGTTACAGCTTTGCAGGTGTTTAATTCGTGGGGTGGTTGTTGGAGCTGGCGAACACTTGGTGGGGTAGTTTCGTTAGCCATTGCTTCCCTTAGACGACGAAATTCCATAACTAATTAAGTCAGTAATATAATCAATAAAATATAATGAAAATATAATTTTATATTTTTTGGTTTTTATTTTTTACATTATTTCTTATAATTCTAATTATATTTATTAACTCTGCTTGGAACGATAAAATTAGTATTTCAAAATTTTTAAAATACCAAGAAAAGTTGTAGAGAACGTGCAACTTTCTGTTTTTGTCCAAAAAAGATTTATAAAATTCACTCATCTTATCCGCCGATATATCTTGAAATCCGGATAAATTGTGTGCTTGAATAAAATCCTGTTTTTCCTAAAAATAAAAAATAAAGTTCAAAAATACATCATTTATCCGATAGCTATACAATTAGGTCAAAAAGTCACAAAGATCAAATGTACAATATACAGCATTATGTGGAAGTAGATTGTTCATACTCTAAAAAATGTTTCAAATTATGTACTCAAATTGAAAATTGGGGTAAGAACTTATAATACTCGAAATTAAACGGAAAATATGTATGGGGTATTTTTTAAACTGGTATTATGCATTAAATTTCTCGTTTCTCGCCATTCTCGTTTATTATTTTTTTATTACATTATTATATTAACTTTATTACAAATAAAATTATTTTTCTGTCATAGTTTTAGCTTTATATTATCCCAGTTGTACAAAAAATATCAATTGTCTGCTATTATATAGTTATATAGCTAGTTACTTTGTGGTCTAGTTACTTCATACCCCAAAAAGGAACACAAAATAGACTGTTGGATTTTTTGTCAATTGAAAAAGTTGTCTACGCACATCATACCAATTCAGTAGTTACTGGTAATGCAAAGGGTAATGAATCGACTATCGAAATGACTGTATACTGGTAACGATGGCAGGGGACAATTGACTTCCCCAATGACATACCCATGTTAAATTCACCAGTCTAGGGCATGAAGTGGTAACTAGTGGTACTTACAGGTAATTAGTAAAATATCTAGTTCATCACCAGTTACTCGAACTACTGGGATGTTAATCTCTCAATACATGTATAATTGGCCATAAATGGCTTTCTTTGTATTGAATGTAAATAAATAAATTTCATTTTGTAGAGTTTTTTACTGTTATGTATTTTTATTTATTTAGTTTATTCTTTTTGGATTTTTTTGTTATATAAGTTAATATAAGTTATTGGCCCTGCTGTCTTTTTTATATTACATTGGATGAAATAAATGAAATGGTAACCTAACCAACCAATTAAGTTAATAAATTTGCAAAAAATTCCCAAAATACCGAATCTTGGCGGTTTTTCTTATATCAGTGCTAACCCGAAATTTGATCATTTTTGGTAGTGAGATTTTCTTCTCAATGATCGTCCAAAATATATAATTACAGTCAATTTGGTAGAAACACATGACCAACCTATCCCAAAGATTGGATCAATATTTTTTGATGCTGCATTTTGCAATATTTATAATATTTGGTACGCAGATTTTCTACTAAATTTTCTAAATTATAGCAAAATACCGTACATAGTACTAAAGAGACTATGTTAGACGGAATTTGTAGACAGTTGAAGAAATTGATCCACAGAAATTTTTATTAAAATTGCGATATTTTCAAAAACATTTTTGTTTCAAATTACGTGTTTTTGGTAGGGCAGTTCCCGCCGTTCTAGTAAATGGATTTTCGCGAAGATGTTGGCGGGTTCCCATATGAATCAAATGACAGATATAGACATTTCACTGGAAAATAGGTTTTTAAAAAATTTGGTCCGCCAACATTTTTAAATTTTGATGGTTATGAATGTGAATCTGCGAATATTACATACCCAAAATATATATCAAATTACACAGATTCGTGATTACAACAATCCTTTAATTGATGTTTGGAAATTAATGATTGCACATAGAAACTTGAAGAAAAATTTAAAAAAAAATCTCAAAATCTGCCCTGGTGGCCTAAACTAAAGCAACTAAAAGTACATAGTTAATACATGCCGCATAATTTTTTCAAAAATTAAGATTTTTGATTTTTAATCGGGTACTTTATTTACATTAAAAAAACAAAAGCATTCATGCAAAATGTATTATGAAATATTATATATATACAAATTTATGGATAAGGGAATTGCCTCAATTTTTTCTTGGACAAAACATAAGCAACATTACAGTACAAACAGATGTGCTCTAAAATTTTAGTTATTTTTACCGTTAATGTTTTGCGTTTTAAATGAATTTTATTACAATAACATGTGTCAATTTTGACTTGCAGCCAAAAAAATATAAAAATGGCTTGAAACAAATACAGTTCTCCGATAAAACTGCTAATTGGCAGTGATTGTGAAAATAATTTATCACAGAAAATAATTTTGAAGAAATATTCAATGAATAAATCAGTGATTTCTCGAATTATATGTTGAGTTAAAAGTTCAATTGAATTGATGAGAAGGTTGCCGTTGTGTATAACCTCAAGAACAGATCGTGGACGACATATAGTAGCAGGTCTACATGCCGAAAACCATCAAGAAAGCCATTTTATTTCTGGAAAGAATCGGGAGGCAGATTGTCTTTCCCAAAACTCTTATTAAGTTGAATCCGACTCAGTGCAGAAGTATTATGCTCTCGGATGAATTAAAGTCAAATATTAAAGAATCAGACATGAAAAACCAAAAAACAGCGATGAAGAGTACATTTAATGATCAAATTTAACGTTTTATTGATTCAATGTCTCGTACTGTGTGCTGTCGTAGTATATTGACCATATAAGGCTTTTTGGCTTGGCTTTGAAATGAATAAAATAATAATAATAAAAATAATGGTTTTGCAAGTAAAAGTTCTTATTTATAAGAAAAAATCAAAAAGTTGCTTTAGTTTTGGCCTAGCAAATTGAGCCAATTTGCTCGGCCCCTGTCAATATTAATAATTTTTAATAAGAAGGTTCGCTATACATTAAAATATCAAAATACTAAATTGCAGCTAATTCCGTAGAAAAGCGTGGCTAACATCCCCGCCTACGGGGAGCAGAGCTGAATGCTAATATAATAATAATATTATATGTCACAACAACTTTTTTTCTTGAATTCGCCGAAAAAAAAAGAAATAAAGTAAGATTAAAAATAAAAATTAAAGAAGACAATTTCTGAAAAAAACAAAACATATAGGTCATGTATAGGATACCTTCACATAAACTTCTTTAGGAAGATCTTTTACTGCTACACGAGAAGAGAATTTTGGATTTTTATAAGAATCTATTATCTTGGGACTTTCTATAAGGATTTGGTGGCGTATTTCACGTAAAAATCCCCTCCTTATATACCGTATAATAAACGATATCAATAATCAAAGGGCGAAGCCTTAATCTTCGAATGAGACCTTCAGAATAGACAATACATATGATAAGGATATTGATCTAGGAAACCAGAACTGCATTCTGTAATTTTATTGTTAAACATTGCCCAATTTCAATAATTGGGTTGTATGTTGAGTTTGGTATTCTGAGGTGTTGTGTTACTACAACAGAAAACATATTCAAAATAGGTCCACGTCTTCGTTTCTCCAAAAATGTATTCGTTATCATCTTTAACATTAACGAATCATTTTTATCTTTTATGCTATTTTTAATTCATAAACATACGACTTGCAAAAAAAAATCACACACACACAAATTTAAAAATCTATATATGTATATAAAATAGAAAAAAATTTGTTTGTTTGTTTGTGTGTATGTTCCCGATAGACGCAAAAACCGCTGAACAGATCTTAATGAGATTTACACTGTATGTCGGGACATGCCCTGAAAGTAACATAGGCTATATAAACTTTTAAAATTCCGCGTGGATGCGGAGTTATAGCATCAATAGTAACCATACCTCAAAATTTCTGAACATATAATATGCGTTTATCTTAAGAACGGTTACAGATACCGTTTTCAAATTTTGCCTGATTAACGAAGGTGTGAATACACACCATCCATACAAAAATGAGTATGGTACGATCAACGTAAAGTGCACTTTTTACTGCATTTTAAAAATCAGCATATTGAAAATTGAAAATATTTTGTTTGTAGACTCTAAAAATGCTGAAAAGATCTGACTGAGATTTTCACAGAACGTCAAAAAATGCTCTGGGAATATTATATGCTATATAAACTTCTAAGATTTCTCGATGGTGCGTTGTTATAGCGTCAGACGTAATCATAACTGAAAAATTATGAACATGTAATTTGTGTATATCATAAGTACGGTTACAGATACTGACTTCAAACTATTGCTGAGTAACGTGGGTGTAAATACGCATCATCCACACGACAGACCGCGGACAAGGGAAAATGCACAACTCATTGCATTTAAATTTATACGCAGAAAATAGAAAAATATCGTTTGTGGACTCAAAACCCACTAAGCACATTTTATTAAAATGTTCATAGTAAGTCCATGGAAGTAACATAGGTTGGAAAAAACTGAGGAGTAATAGCATAAGAAGTATTCATACATCTGAAAGAATGTACATATGTAGAACATTTTCTATGGGTATATCTTAACGTAGCGGCTTGAAAATATGGTTGCGTAACATGGATACAAATACTCATCATCCGATGAGGATATACTTTCGAATGATGAGGATATATTTTGAAATACATATATATGCATGTATGTATGTATATTGAAATATATATTGAAATATAATATAATTTTCCAGTTTGTCAGTCTGTGAAAAAATTTTATTTTGAACAAAATCGAACAAAGTGTTATTTGGAATAAAAATATTTGGATTTCAAAGAAAAAAAATTTAATTATAAATCGTTTTATCACCTGGAAAAAGTCAGAAACTGGGATAGGGTAAATTCAGATACCCCACTATTATTTCAAACCAGTAAGGAAAACTAAAAGTCGGACGGGCCCGACAATATGGTACCTTTCACAACTTTGGGTACATACAAGAGATGTAAATACCAGATATTGTATGGTAAATAGAACAGACTTAGCTCTTTGAAGGTCCATTGAATTGGTATTGGGCGAAATTAAATGTGTGATCTTCATAGATATTTGAACCAATGAAAAAACCATACACATACCATTTTGAAATCAATGAAAAATTGCATGTCAAACGGGCAGACTTGGATTCTTTGGTACCATTTGTACGAAATCGAGTAAAATTATGTATGGGAGCTATATATAAGCACATGGATCTAATTGAGCAACCGTTGCATAGAACATTTGTTTAAATCGTGTAAATCAAACAGACATAGGCCTTTCGGCATTTACATAAAATGGAACGAAATTATATATAAGACCTAAATCAAAATCTGAACAGATTTCAACAAAC